TTGACTTTTTTCTTTTTCAACCTTTTAGAAATTCCCAACTTTCTTTCTTTTTCAATCATTCTGTTGCATCTAGAGACCCAAATGTTATTGTGAAAAGTGGTGGTAAAAAAATTTGTAGTATCTAAAAGAATGTTTCTAGCAGTAGAAAGAGAGAATAGTTTCTTTAACAATGATAACATATTATTAGAGATTATTCCTTTGGCCAAGTAAATGCAGGTGGTAGAATGAAGTGAAGGGTCCAAGTATTCCATAATTTTCTCTTTCCTAGATAGGTATAGGTCTAGTTTATTATCATTCTGACTGATTTTGTCAAGGATGATCTTATTAATAAATTCACATGTTGATAATCTAGTATCAGTGATATTCTGAATATTATTTGGGCAATTCTACAAATGATTGTAGTCTTCATTATGATATCTGCAAAAAATACATGACCAGTTCTGGTAAAGGTTAGGGCGTCTAACTATAAGTCTGTCCAATATAGGTAATTCTTCTATCAATGATTTCAATTTAAAGCTCTTCCTTCGTCATTGGACAAATGAGGTAGCAGCAGAATTATTAGCCATATTTGAATTGAAGACAGAAAAAGTAGTAGACCAATGAATGTCAGAAGAACGTGTGTGTTGAGCTAATGTGAAGTTTCAGTTGAGATCCAAGAAGGTTGAAAATTGCTTAGCTGCATTCATATGTTTTCAGAATTTTCTAATTGAAGATTCTATAGGGACATTTTTAAAGTTGAAAAGGAGCTGTAAATCATCGAAGGCTGTATAATTAATATTTAAGGGTGGCATAGAGCATCCAGCTTTCGCTAAGTTATCAGCTATATCATTGTAGTGATCTCCTGAGTGTCCTTTGACTTTTATTAATTTGACGGATAGGTGCAATTCATTGATGATATGTGAAACTAATATCCAAATATTATAATTAGGTATCTTTTCACAGGTCCTCGTTGTAAGATTATTAATTAGGCAAAAATTATTGTATCCATCAATAACTGTTTGGCTGTCAAGGAAAATTGTTGGTAAAGAGGATTGAGGACAAATAATTAAAGCAGAAAGAAGAGCAAAGAGTTCAGCTCTGGTGGATGATGGAGAGTTTACAACTGCCACCTTAAATGAAAGTTGCTGTTTATTGTTGAAATATGAGCAAATTCATCCTAGACCCATTTACAATCTACTGTAGCTGGAGCTGAGAGAGAACCGTTCGTATAGAATACTGGTGAACTAAGGTTATTACATAACAGAGATAAGTCAATGAGGCTTTTCTGATAAAAAATATCTATGATGTATTTTGTAATTAGTATACTATTTGAAGAGGGAATATCAGAAGCATCCAAACTAGTATTGAGAGAGTCTTGAGGATATAAGGTGGATTGTTCAAAAGACTTTTTCCTCATAAGTTGATAATTATGAGCTGCTATGTAATTTGCAGAAGATTGTTTCATAATAAAAAATGTCTTTTTTAATGGATGTGGTGTTTTATTTCTTTCGACAACTATAGCTGTGAGAGTATTATAACCTTTAACACAAGTTGTGTATGAGATTGGTCCACTGAATTTAAACCTCAGATGTTTGGGTGGGTCTTTACAAAAATTCATTAGAGCTGAGTTATTAAGGTTGCATCCAGAACATTGAGTAATTGATCTATTATTATAAGTCAGGTTGAGGTCAGCATGTGGCTCAGCTTGAACAAAATACTAAACCAAAATATTGTTATGATCTTTCATTTTTCTAATGATTCTTCCAATGATAATCACATCTGAAACAGGGTGGTGAACAGTCACGAATTCTTTTTTCTTGTCAGCTAAACTAATTTATATACTAGGTGAGTCTATATAACTATTATTAAAATTATCTAATCTAAAAAAATTTTTAACTAGTCTACTATCCAAACTATTTAAGATCCGTTTTTCTACTATATTGTAAACTTTAGGAGTATAAGATGAGGCCATATGGTTGTATATGCTTCGTTAGGATATGTCCCTCCAATTCAAGTAATATGAGCCAGTAATATCCAAGAATTGGTCAATGAAGAGTAGCGAGTATCTGTTTAAAACCTTGTTATGTTTCTTTAATTCTTCCGTTGTGAGTATGATTGAAAGAGGTAAAGATCCTCCTTTAATATCATTGAGTAAAGATTGATGTGTATTAAAAGATAATCCAATCTTGCCATGATTTATTATACTTAATGTAACGCCAATGATATTTCTATAGGATTTATTGTTAAATGGTTGATTCCAATGTTGAAGAGAAGAGATATATAAAGAATGTTGAGATTGTAATTGGAATAATCTAATTAATGAAATGCGTTTGTATATGGATTTTGAGTTGAATTGATAAAGGAGTGCTATAGAATATGATTTTAATTGTTGTGTTCAAAGGTTATTTAAGTTATAAAAAACACTTCCTTTGAATAAGCAATCAGGAGAAGTCAAAGTCATTGACAAGTTATGTTTAACTATTCTTCTTATTGGAGCAGAAATTTGATTACATTCATTAAAGAATAGTAGTATAGTCTGCAATCGATATTCTAATAACAGAAAGAGCACCATATTAATAATGTAGCAAAGTTGTTTGTCGGTAAGGGGTTTGGATTTAAGAATGGTGATAAAGTTAGAAATAGTGTCTTTGGTTTGTTTCTTGACAAAATATTTCGAATTGAATATGTTAATCCAGACTCCTAAAAATCTTATAGATCCAAGTTCTGGTTTGATATATATCGTGTTAGATCCAAATTTGATATGTATTGGTTGTGAGGTCGTAACTGTATTTGTTAGTAACTGTGATTTAGATTTGTTGATAGCAGCTTTGGTTATAGAGTAAAATTCATCAGCTACTTTTAATATATTTTCTAAATCTTCCTTAGAGTGTGCTAGCCAATTTGAGTCATCCATATATCCCAAGGTTGAAACCTGTTCAGACAAAGAGGAGGAAGACATGTGTTTAACATCAGAGATCCAAGAATATTCCATAATATAACCTTTTTTTAGACTATCTATCTCGCATAAGAGCGGATCAAAATAAATACACCATAATAATTGTGATATAACTTCCCCTTAGTCAATCCCAATTTTTACATCATACAATTCTGAAAGGCCGTCTTTTGTAAAAACTGCATTTTTTCTGTTTGTAAATAAATTTATCAAGCAAGAGATGCAGTTTTCTGGGATTTTAATTTGTTTAAGAGCCAACTTTAAAATATTCAGGTCTATTCGATCGTAAGCTTTAGATAAATCTTGTAGTAGAATCTATAGATCTTTTTGTTTTTCATCGCATCTTCAATGATTAGATTCATTATCTTTATGGGATCCTCTGTCGAGCCACCAGTGAGACCAGCATAATTATTACCTTTTAAGACATTATGTTTAGCAAGAAGCTTTGAAAGTTGATTGGTAATTATTTTGACGAAGACTTTTCTGGTAGTTTCTAATAAAGTAATGGGACAAGTTTTTGTGATATCACAATTCCAATCTACAGGTTTAGGAATTGGGTAAACATGTGCAATTTTTCATTCAGATGGAATGTCACTGAGTTCAAAGCAAATTTTTATCAATTTCCAAAGAAGGCGGTGTGTGTTAGAGCCTGAATGTTTTATAATTTCATTATGAATTCCTGTTGGACCAGCAGCTTTGTTATTAGGAAGTTGTGATATAACTGAGGACCATTCTTCTATGGTGGGGGTTGTATAATATTGTCAAACCATTCATCATTCACGTAGTCTTTAGATGATATTGAGCTATTCATCTTCCAAAGAGGGGAAGCAGGTGAATCAGGAATGGCAAAGTTTTGGAAGTGCTTATTAACATGTTGTTTAATTAGATTAGGATTATTAATTAAGTTGAGTTGACCTTCGGCATCTCTGACCAATAGTCTGTCTAATACGATTGACTTTTTAGATCTTCCTATAGCTGATTGTATCATTTTTCCTGGATTAGTTTCATATTGAAGACAACGTTGATCGATAAAATATTTGATTCTCTGGTTTAAAATGTTAGTTTCTTCAATTCTAGACAGTGCTTTAAGGTTGTGATATATTGTTAGTAAAGATTTTCTAACATCTTTGACATTGTATTCGGTTAGGATGTCAGGTAGAGAAAGTAATGGTAATTTTGCCGAAAGTGTAATAGTTTTGATAATATCAAGATCAGCTGTCCATTCGTTTCCAATAGGCTATGTTTTTAAGTTCAATCTTGCAGCTCTGAATTTGAGAATAATTTTATTAAGAAGTTTCATGTAATCATAGTAAGTGACCAGATCTTTTAGTTTAGGAGCTTTTTGATCTGCATGAACCCATTTAGAAGAAATGTTTTTTGTAGCTGCAGTCATAATAGCATTCCTTAGTTGTTCTCATATATAGTTCATGTTAGGGAGAGACGAGGATAAGGAGAAGAGTTTGTCCATATTATAATTTTTGAATTAAATATCTGTGGCTTCAGCAAAAAGATTCCATTTTTGTTTGGTCATTGTATTGAAGTCAAATTTCCTTTTTTTCATTTTATTGCATCTTACTACAGCCTCCTGTTTCATCATAGGATTAGTAAAATATGCAGTAACAATTCTATGATCAGAGTGATAAATTAGTGGCTTTGAAATACTATAATAAAGGTTTGCGAAGAATCCTGGTAAAGTAAAAACACTGTCTAATCTCTTTGGAATACAATGTGAAATTGAACTTTGTGAAAGAAAAAAAGTTGGGAGGATATTATCGTTGCAGCATAATTGTAAGTCTATATAATTTCTGAGTGATAGTCCTTCCACTAAATCAAATTTCCAGCCAATACTTTTATTGAGCTTAAGATGTTCATGGTATTCATCAATGTTTATGTTGAGATCTCCCATTAAGATTATATGATAATGTTGTTTGTTGCATTCATCAAGTATATTAAGGATTTGTTTTTGAAGGATTTGTCTATCATGTTTATCTTTGGCGTCATTAATGTTAGTCATCAATATATATTCCTTTTGTATATTAACTAAAACAAATCCCATTTTCTTTAACTATCAGATTGCTGTAGATTTACTATAAAATGTAAAGATTTTTAGTAATATACTTATAAAATAAAGTAATTCATAAATACAAATATTATAAAATAAATACCTGATTTTAGTTTTTTCTTCTATGCCAACAGAAGGCAAAATTTCATTAGAAATATAATCACAAAAATTATGAATAGTTGTATTAAATTTGTGTTGTTGTAAATATGATGTTACTTTTAATTGAACATCCTCATCATCAAGAATACTGCTTCTCCTAAGATGTTTTTCATAATTACTTTCAGGAATGTCACCATATTCAATAAATGCTTTAGCCTAATTTCAACACAATGAGCAAACTATATTTCTCGATTTAGAAGATCTGCAATAGTTTGATTTGCTTTTAATTTTGCATGTCCTTTGTTAAGAAGTTGTAAATAATGTTGGACAGCTTTAAGTCGCAGCTTATATCTTAGAGTTAAATATTCATTCTCGAGTTTTAGTTTATCTTCAATTATATTAATTAATGCATTAAATTATGCATTTTTTATGATTTTATCATCATTGGAATTATCATTGGAACCATCATTATTGGAACCATCACTATTAGAACCATCTTCACCAAAAAAACCACCATTGGAATTATCTCTACCATCAAAAGAACCACTACCAAAATTATCATTAAAAGAATCACCACTGAAATCAACACCAGAACCATCACCACCAGAAAAACCATCATCAAAATTACCACTGGAAAAACTACCAATATTGTGATTAAATAATAGTTGATAAAAAGTTTGTTCATTTTTTTTCGATTTTCAATACTTTAACTTTTTGTCGATATTTTGTCATTCTTGAGTTTCCTACATTTACTAACGTACGTTTTGAAAGTTTTAGTTCTTTCATATTTTTAGTTAAAACTAAAAAAAGTTGATTTACCTCATCCTCATCAACCCATCCAACTTCATCATCCATGTTAACCTCATTATCTAAGTCTAAAATATCATTTGAATTATTTGAATCGATGTCATCATGATTTTTTGCAATTTGAATTTTTCTTTTTTTTGCAATCTCTCGGCATTGTTGGATTTGTCATTTTGGGCACCCCATTAGTAAAAAAAAAAAGATCAGTTGATTAATATATGTATACAGTCTAAACTATTTATATAAGGCCAGACTAAGTAAATCATCTGTTTAACATCAATTCCCCCTCCTATATTAGTTTCAAAATATAGTTTAACAACATATATTAAATCACGTGATATATATTAAAATCTTTCTAGTTACATTATTAAGTTAAATAACTTTCTTGTATTATAACTTTAAAATGTTCAAATATTAAATATTTTCCAAGTTTTTTAAAATTATTCATAAGATAATACAAATCATGGGAAATATTTAACAGAAATGCAACAATTGCAGATATGTAAACTTAACGCAAGTATATTTCAAACCTTATTTTATTTGAAATGCCACATTTTGTAATTCAAGTTGAAGAAGAACGCAAAGTTCTAATTAGCTTTAGAATAGTTAAAGATACTTCTCTTTCTTTAGAAAAGCAAACTTTAACCTTTAACGATTTTTTTAAAAATCTTATTCAACCTGTATTTAGGTTTCGTGAAGTTCATGTATTTGTTGGAAAAGGTGACTCAAAATGGAACTTTGTTCAAGATGACTTACAGAATGAACTTAGTTTATTGATAACACTTGGCTTTACACATATTAAGTTTGTCATATAATCAGAAGATATTTCACAAAGACTTGATAATATACAAAGTACAAACAATATATCAGGAACAAATGCATTTACCATATTAATGGAAAATACCAACAAATTAGCTTTACCTGCAATTAAGAAAGAGGAAACCTGATATAATTTATTGTATAATGATATTATAAAACTATTGAAATAAAACAATGTTGGCTGGACTGGTAGGCTGCATAAAATGGTTGGAAAAAAATTTGTTGAACGATTGGTAGCGTTAATTTGGTATATCAATCCGCATCTACAAAAATTTACTGTATGAAAATTATATCTTCCAAAAATTTTTTTGGAATTCAATCAATATAAATTGAAACTTAATTACAATCATTTTTATTTTGAAGGAAAACATAAAAAGTAACAATTAGCTTATACTATACTTACTGATCTTACAAAATCCTTAACATTATCAACATCTATTCCTTGGGCTTGTGAAGTAATTTGGAAATTAGTGATTGAACAAGTTTTTGTTTTAATTACAATAGTTGATCTGTATACAAATTTTTTGAAAAAAAGCCAATGATCGTATGTATGAAATTCATTATAGTGGTGTACCAGCTAGAGATCCTAGTGTAAATCTAGAAGTATATACTATTAATACTGATTCTAATGATATAATTAAAGAAATTTATGAAAAGTTGGCAAATACTTTAAGCTCTAAAGATAAATATAAATTTATAAATATGAAGCATTATTTACCAAATGATGCATTTAAACGATATAATTATATTAAAAATTTACAACTCAATATTCCTGTAACTATTTATCGATATCATCAAGGTAATTATTTAGAAATTTTAAATTATATATGAGGAGTTCTAGCTTCTCCAGATGATAGAGATGAAACGAAATTAGCACAAATAATGGTAAGTATTCAAAGACTATTATCTAAGTATTTTATTGAACAAATGCGCAAGAATGTCCTTTATAAAGTAAGAGTTCATGATCTTTTATTTAATTTTTTAAAATATTAAAATAATAATAATTAATACAATGCATTCAATATAGTATTCATTGGTAAAAACTATTACACCAGCAATTTTGAGAGTTCTTTATTATGATCTAATAGGTGATGCTGTTATAACTAACAATACTATTAGTAAAGAACTTGAAGAAAGATTAAAAATGATGTTATTACTTGAAGATCCCTCAATTATTGTCGATATGAGAATTAATAATGGTTTTAAAGGAACTAAGTTTGATCACTTTTGGTATGAATTAGATACATATTTTAATGAGATAATATCAAAATTTACTATATATGTTAACAATTAATTATCTAAATGCTATTTTAATATTTAGATAAATGCTGCAGTAGATGACCATTGCCATCACAGTCTTTTATATAAACCAATAGCAATATCTATTCGAGATCTTTGTGATTGTATAATTCAAAAACTTGAAAATAAATATGAAAGTCCACTTCTTTTTCAAATTAATATTCCTTGTGAAGAATGGATTCGAATACAATTTTCACCTACCAATTCAATTGCTGCTAAGGCAATTAATTACACTGGTCAATTTAAAATAATTTTTAAAGTACAAACTTGACTCTTACGTAAGAATCATCCTGATTCACACTATTGTGCTTGTTATTTTCAATATTTATATGAATTTGCTATTCTTTTCCGAGATTATGTTTCTTTTATTTGTGCTGATGACAAACACAAAATTTCAATTGGAGAAAGTGTTGCCATATCAACTGAGATGCGTAATAAAAGATCTATGGTTTTACAGGATGCAGATCTTGTTGCTTGTGATCATGATTTTACAAAGTTGAGTTTAACACCCTCAGTTATCTTTTTTTGTGAAATTCCCAGAAGTATTGAAGAATCATTTTATAGTGAAAAAGTTTTTGTTTCTTTTAAAAATACCATCTTTCAGCCAAGTAGTGGTATTAGACATGCAACAGAATTCTTTAAAGTTATTTTTTTACATTATCAATCTTTAGTTCCTCCGATTCTCTGTCTTTATACAGATGGAGGTTCTGACTATCGAGTTACATATGGATCAGTTCAAATATCCTTGATTTATCTATTTCTTAAAGGAGATTTTGATATGTTTATAGCATTAAGAACAGCATCTTATCAAAGTTAGAATAATCCCGCTGAGAGAATTATGTCAATTCTGAATTTAGCATTACAGGAAGTAGCTTTAGTTCGCAAAACAATATCAGAAGACATGGAAACTTTGTTTAATAAAGCAAATACCCTTGAAGAAATTCGTAAAGCTGCAGAAAAATCTTCACAATTGGCTAGTAAACTGCAAGATTGTATTATTACTGTTTAGGAATTTTTACAAAAAAGAACAGAATGGCTAGTTTTACATAATGAACCATTTTCTTGTTATGATCCAGCTGATGAATCCGCTTAAATTTCTTTATTTTTTCAAGTAAATTTATTTTAATTTTATACTATATGAATTAAAAAATTTTATATTAAACTTAATTGCTTTTATTTTAGATTATATTGACAATTGATCAATTCTTAAAAATAAATGAAACAACTGCATATATTCTTTCAAAAAAAGAATTACTTCAGAAATTTATTAACACCCATTGCTATCAATGAAACTATTCATTTCAGGTATGTTTATACTAAAAACAGTGAAATATTTAATTTATTATTTTTTAACATTCAGTTTATATTTTTTAATCAAATAAAAAAATGTAACGATATTATATATACTATTTGTAAGACTATACAACTTCCATAGCATATTTTTGTGACACTAGATTTTTACCAGATCCAACTTCGTCAACTGGTATAAATATTTATTTTATTTTATATTATTACAATAAACAATTTTTTTTATGCAAAACTAATTAATACAATTCTATATTTTATTGTTTTAGAAAACAATGACCATTATGCTGACTTTCATACAGTATACCACAAAATAACAACTGAAGATCACTGTCTTACATTAAAACAAATAGTGAAATCAGCAGAACGGACTCCAAAAAGAATATTTGTAAATACTAAAGTGTGTGACTATATTGAATGCTTTCAGTGTAACAAACTTCGTTGTATATATAGTAATCAAGCTTTAGATGCTAATGAAAAAAAAGAGTTATATCTTGTAAAAGAAGAAATTAATTATAGCTGTAGTTCTTCACTAGTTGACGAAAATCATGAATTCTATACCAAAGTTTATGTACACAAAAATATTACCTGTAAAACACCAATTGAATTAGCTTATTATTCTTCTAATTCACGTCAGAGTAATCATAATTCACAAATTTGTTATTGGTGCAGAGTTGATGGTGGTTTAGTTGATCCTTCTGTTGAAAAGACATCTAATTATAAGTTTGTATTTCCATGTTGTTGTTAGTGTTTAGAAAAAGGAAAAGATTTTTTCTGTAGAGTTGAGATTAAAACAAATAAGAAAAATGGGAGTAAAAAAAGAAGTTCTAATAGCAATTCAAACCAAAATCAAAAATGTAACAAATCAACTAGCTAGATTTTTAAAATGTATATAGGCCAAACATTTATAGTTAGTTATAATATTGGTCAAATTATAAACTGCTAATAAAATTTTATAATAAAAATCACGTGATATCAAAGTTTTATTGTTGTTAATTAACCTTCCCCCTAAGTCATAGATCTCATATGACTATATTAAACAGAAGATTAACTTGGTATAGCCTAATCAAAGTAATTTTAACGTTATTTTATAGTAACAGTCAATGTCTATCGAACTATGTTAAAATATTTTAAACATATACACTAGAAAATTTTTTATTTTATTTTTAAGTTTGATAAATTTATTGGATAGCTTTTTGTGACACAAACTGTATAACATGACTCTGATATTTTCAAAAACCTTTTTACTTAAGAAGTCTTAAACTTTCAAAAATTGAAGTCTTATATTACACCGGAACTTGAAAAATGAGACTTTGCTATTGCAGAATTTCTTTCGTATGAAACACCAGAAGTCTTTTAGCTTGTTAGAAAATTAAATAAAGAATTCTTAAAAGCTTTTCCAGCGGAATGCACTGCACAAGAAATTTTCCTCAACAACAATTTTATTGATAACCTTGCGAGGCCTTGTGCCTATAACTTACATGAAACTAGAGCAAGTAACCATAGAACTAACAACACCAAAGATATTTTTTCAAATACTATTAAAACAGCTCTTTCCTACAATGAACCTGAAGACGTTATTTCGTTTCATGATGGTGAGGAAATCTCTTCACAAATAGATACACTAAATGATGATAACATGTTAACAGATACGAATAATACACAACACGTTAATCTTCCTTCTTTTTTATCAACTCCTAATATACAACATTCTTTGTCTAATAATCAAACAAAAATAACAAACAAAAATCAAAACAAAACAGATAACAAAAAATCTTACGCGTCAGTAACAAAACAACCTAAACAAATTATTCACGCATCTGTAGATCCTAATAATAATAACAACAATATTGACGCATCTTTACACAATCTAAATAATAATCTTACACTTAGCCAAAAGTTACACAAGAATGATCTATGCCATACAATGAAGAATACTTCTCACGTAACTAAACCTAATAATAAAGAAAATATTTTTGCATCACTACTAGCTTTTGCCATGCCAGAAAATAATAGGATAGAGAAATTGGATTTCATTTCCTCCCTCTTTTCTAAAAAATTGGGTTTTGTTAACATAGATTGAAAATTTTATAATGGCAATGCTAATATTTTCATAGAATTTAATAACAGAAAACTATTATTGGATGCAATAGATGCTGCTTTAATAAACCATTCTAAACTCCCATTCAATTTAATCAATGAAGCTCCACTTAGTACTTAATATCACAACAACCCTACTTACAAACTTAAATCTGTTCCTAGTGATATCACACAAAATTATATAAATAGAACCCTTACATATTTTGGATCCATCATTTCCATTATAGATCAATATAAAAACTGATATGACTCCACACGTGACGTCATTGTCTCTTTTGAAAAACTCAGAAAATCACATTAACTCAATGCTGCTTAGGTACACAATATAAATGGACATGTTATTAGATGCGCTTACATCAATACACCAATGGAAGAACTAAAAGATAGAAATAAATATGTTGCCAGTTTTAAAGAGTTCAAAAATAAAACTTCACCTGCAGAAGCTTTTCGTACAATAAGATCATTTAACGCAAGATCTTGTTACTTCCATAACAATATTGCTTATGCTGCTTTTGCAACTGAAGAAGATATGAACTCTGCTTATTCTCAACGAATTATACATAATGAATATCAATTGAACGGCAGACCCAGAATTCTCAATAGACAATATAGTTAACAAGAAACACTAAAATCACCAGTAAATGTTTCCTGTAAGAACTCTCTTAGTAATCACAAAATTAATAATCGATCTCTTCTCTTCAACACCAGGAATGAAAAAGATGCTTTTTCTTACTCTTCAAGTAGCTCACACAACACAACAACATCTAACAATAACACCAATAATAACAACAATAATTCCAGTCTACTAGATTTAATTCTATTGAAACTCCAAGAATTGGACTCGATCAAATCTCATCTAGCCAAATTAGATTCTTAATTTCTTGCATTCACTAACAATGATGGGCATATAGCTCATCGCTTATGATATACTCCACATTAGACGAATCACAGATGAATAGTATTCCTACTGATAACTGGAATACTTCTCTTCTTAATGATAACATTGATTTTTTTTTAGATAACCAAGTTGCTCAATTTCATGAAAATAGACAAAACAGCATTGATAAAATTGATAAAAACATTTCTCATTTAGACGACAATCTATCAAACAACATAATCAAAAGAGATATACTTACTTTTGCTACCCACAATATTAGAGGAATAAATGATTCTACTGACCCTATCAAATCCTCTCAAATCATAGAATATTTTATATATAACAAAGCTGATTTCATTGGTCTTATTAAAACACATCATAAAACATCAATGCTTTACAAATACAAACAGAATCAATACTTTACTACCTTCTGGAGCCAACCTGATTCATACAACCTTATGCAGGAGTTGGTCTATTAATCTCCAAAAAATGAGATAAACACATTGCATCCTCCTTCACATCAGATCCGAGATTACTTTATGTTGATTTGTACTTAAAAGAGGGGTTGTCTAAAGCCGTGTTCGATCACGTGATTAGCAGATCGGCGGTATCACATTAGAAGATTGGCTGTGATCCAGATAAGTCACGTGATCACATGAATAAAATTTTCAATAATAACAAAAAACAGCTGCATAATAAACTCTTTGCTTTTTAAGCCACAACGATCTTTTTTTAACAGTAATAAAGGGTTCTATACTAGTTCTATACTGTTAGTCTCTACTTTTTGCTGCTAAAGTTTGAGGAGAGAAGCTTTTATTTTTGTTTGTTTTTTTTCCAATCTGCAAAGGGTTTAAATTTGAAGGATTTTTTCCTTAAAGGTTCGAGGTTTTTTGTTGGTGATGTATTTGTTCTCCCAGCCT